CAGTGACACACCTCCTACAACAAACTGCAGGAAGCTTAATGACCTAGGAGTTTTGCTTTACTCTCCTTTTTGTTTAGATATTGATCCAAATTGGAGGAATGTTAAATTTTTAATCCTAAAGAGAATCCACAAATACTTGAGAATCTTGAAAAGTAAAGGATTAGCTCAGAAGAAGTTGGAATGCAAGGCACTGATGGGGCTGAGTAGGGGAGCTTCTACCCCGATCCCCTAACTCTCAAGGGAAGCACAAACCCTTCAGAATCATAGATCATTTTGTATGGGATGGTCTTTGGAGTTTGTCCAGTTTACTTCCCTGATGCCTCTGCTGAGGAAGTTGGAGGTCGGAGGGTGATAAATCTTCCCGGTCACACAGCTTGACGTTTGCCTGGTCTCTTCTGGATCTGCTGTGGCACAGAGGCACTGTATCCAGGAGGTCAGGATAGAAAGAACTTCATGGTGAAAGCCAGGACATGAGCCGCAGCTGAGCCACAGAATAGAGCCACTGAGAGCTGAGTATAGGCGCTAGAGGACTTCATGTAAACACACCCAAGAAAGTAGCTCACTATGGTTGAGAGCAGACTGAGTGAACTCAGAGTGAGTGAGACCATGTCTTGGATTTATCTACCTGCAAATCACCGAAGTGTGCAAGCTGTATCAGGATCTCTTTGAGAAAGTACTTTATACACTAAATCAAATTATTTAAAAATAACACTTGAGTGAGTTGCCTGTTTCTAGGCTGATTCTAAGTTCATGTGTTCTTGTTATTGAAACATGAAGACACCAGATTTTAGGTCTGTATCCTTTATTAAGAATTTACTTTTTTTTCTTAATATGTGAAGGTAGCAAATATTTTGTCTGCTATGGTTTCCCTTCCAATGATATCTTGTCAACTTGTCCATTCCTAGTGCCTGAATACAACCAAACAGAGAGCCTTCCCTTTGATTTCAAGTTGCTTCACTTGTATGTTTTATCACTGGAAGGTGTAAAGGGAGGAAAAGAGGGCAAGAGAAAACCAACTTTATGTGCTTTACATGTATCCTCTATCAGGAATGATGTCTTTAGGCACCATAAGATCAATTTTGCTCTATTTGCATTGCTAAAACAGGTTTGAGTTTTTCAGTTGGCAGACTGAGGCGGGCCTCTTTGATATCACACTTCACAGTATATGTATTTTATGTGTGATCTTTCATGGGTTTCAAGTGTTAGGAGAATATTTAAAAGTTAAGATACCAGACACAATAAAGACCTGAGAATAAAGATCACTCAACATTTTCACACTTGGCCAAAAGCACATCAGACCTTCAAAGTCAGCATCGGACTGGCAAGCACCTTTATAATATCATCTTTGTGTTTTCAACTAATGGTTCCTTTTAGGGTGTAGTCCGGCTAGAAGCTGTATTACAAGTGCTAGTTACAAGAAACACAGCCTCCTGAACTGTTCCACATTGGGTTTCCAGACAGGACATTTGATTGCCATTCATTTCACACCCAGCTTCAGATTGCAGTATTTTTTAAAAAAACTCAAGAGAGCTAATTCTGAGCACTAGAACTAATAATTCATTTTAGAAGCACTTCTCACGACACTCAGTAGACATGCAGGTGTGTGCTGGGGTTTATGTGGTAGGAGATGGGGCAAGCAGAGGCCTTTCTTGTTCTGAGTTACTAATGCTGAGCATGCATAGTGCCAGCCACGGCCAGCTACCTCATGAGACATGACCTTCCCTTCTGCTCCTTTAAAGTGGATCACCCAGAGTTTGAGTGCTGCCCGTGATATGGCTGTGACTTTCCCTGGGACAACTGATGCTGTCGTTCTTTTTCTGTGCCTGTTGCATGCTTTCCTGCCAAGCAGCTATAGTGATTCAGGCATAAGCACAGTTTATGGAGCTTCCCACTCATTGCACTTTTCTGCATGGGAAAGCATCTTACAGCCTGTAAAAATGGGTTCTTTTGCTGTGTCTTATGGGATCCTTCACCTCCAAGAAGTTATGTGTCTCAGTTCCCTTTATTCTCACTTGGTAGATGCTTACACTCAAGTTAGGAGGTTGAAGTGACTTGTTCAAGATCGTTTGGTTATTTAGCAGCAGAAGACTCTAGATTGCAAGTCTCTTGATAGCTGTTGCTGTACTGCAGTCCCTAATGGTCATTATGTCCAAATGGACATCGCAGGGGAAATGGTCAAGCGTGACAATTATTTACCCACTCCATCTTTTCTTTTTGTTATCCCACAGTATATGAAAGTATACTGCTTTCTACTTAGGAAGGGAGCAGGATGCAGCAGAAGCATGATGGGAACCTGGTATTTCCCTAAGCCAGAATGCTATGATACTTCCTTGCATCAGTACTGAAAGTTTCAACTTCTCTAGTTACCTAATAAGAACCATAAATAATCTTAGTTTGTTCTCTTCTCTTCTGTTTTATGACACTACACTTCAGGGGCTCTGGGGCTCAAGCAGAAAACTGAGATTATTTTTAAAAGGGGAATCTTGACTGAAAAGTTAACAACTGATCAGCTTTGCTGTTAGGACTTAGGTCATCCATGACGAGTTTCTTCTAATGTACAAACTAAAAGAATAGGTATTAACAAAGCCTGGTAGTGTTCACTTGCTTTCCATGTTTCTTTGTCTTCTCTTGTGCCATAAGTGGGTTTATTCAATTTGATATTTAGTAGGAGTCTGTTTACCTTGTGTTCCAGGGGCCGTGAGTGCTGGGTGTATTTATGCATCTAAGAGACACAAACTCGACTATCTTTCTTTCCACATCTCTGCTTGGTTTGCATCTGTGATCAGTTGTAGCTTTGGGACCCTCTTAATCTTCCTGGCTGCTTTCTAGACTGGACTGGCAGTACCCTTTGCCTCTTATGATCTTTTGAGCTTGGTCACCAGCTCATGGTCACCCACAACTGCTCCCTAAAGAGCTGACTCAGTTCAGATGTTAGGAAGGTCAGGAAAAATAATAAGAAAGATGAAATATTTAGAGGGGTCATTGAACTTCACAAAATAGAACTTTTATGTTATCAAATTGGTTCAGAAATAATAAATGTGTGCTTATAAAATTGAGATCATCAGATAATTCTAAAGAACTGGATCGAGCTCCTTCTCACTTCTATTTTTAGAGTGAACATTACCTTCCACCCCTTCTTATGAACTTACCTCAGGGGGTTCACCACTCTATGTGTGGCCTTAGATATTGTTTTCTTAAAGATGCAAACATGATATAAAAGTCAAGTGCCAACCTAGATGGTGGGTAAGAATTCCTGAGTGTGGCCACTGGACTGGGGGATTGCAGTAATCAACAACAGAAAAATCTACCCGATCCAAGCCAGTCAGGGGCTCCATTGTTCCTGCAGGATCTGCAATGTAGGGCCTGTTTTTCCACACCATTGTATTTCAGCTCAAACCAGAAATCAAAATTATAAGTATTGGTAACAATATTAGCTACTTCACACATTGCTCTGATAAAGCAACTCAAGGAAGGAGGGGCTTCTTTTGGCTGCAGTTTGAAGATGCGATTCTTTGTGATAGAAAAGGCATGACAATGGGCGCTTGAAGCAGTTGATCATGCTGCACCCATAGTCAGAGAGCAGAAAGAAGCAGAAGCAAGTGTTCAACTTCCTACGTCTTGTCTTTAAGTCTGGGATCCCAGTCCTGGAATGATGCCACTAGAGTCAGTTGGGTCTTTCCACCTCAGTTAACCTAATTAAGATAACCCCTTCTAGTCAAGCCCAGAAGCTTGTCTCTTAGGTGAATCCAATTAACCACCACATAGACTATTCCATGTCTGATTTATCTATCTATCTATCTATCTATCTATCTATCTATCTATCTATCTATCTATTTATTCATTTATTTATCTGACCAACCAGAATATATTTGTGGCCAAGGTTGCTGGTATCATGTCTGGATTTTATTTATTTATTTTTTTTATTTTTTTAAGATTATAGCCTTTGTATATAAATCCTTTTAATACTTTTTTCTGTTCTCACACAGCTCTATAACAGGCAATAATTTAAACTGCAACAGAAAACTAACATACAGGAGCTCTGGAGAGTAGCTCAGAACATCTTCCTGGCTGAGCCTTTTCCTTCACCTAACTTGGTATGACTTCATCTTAATCTGGGATATTGACATCTGTTATATTGCAAAGTCACTCCTGGAAACTTCCCAGGGTCCAAATCCGTCTGTCTGTTGAGTTTTTCTCAACCTGAAATTATAAACTTGTCTTTGTTCTGTTACCCTTTCTTGATGCTAAAACCTCTACCTGTTCTAGAACTCAATATACTGGCTGTCTGTTGAGATTGTAGGTCTTCAGTTTCTCAGTGGTCACACTTCAGCCAGAATTCCATTCCTGACCAGAGCCATCCTACCTTACGTCAAATCATAACAAGTGATGGAACACGATACTACTATGTCTACTACTACTATAGTTATTATTTCTATTATTATTATTATACATACAATGTTAGATTGCGCTCTTACATATTCATGCTTAATATATGTTGCTAAGGGATTTCACGTTATGAAATTGCTCTCTAATATCTCCAGACAATATTGCAGTATTGCTACATGCGGATGAGAAATTATAAAATCTACTAACATAATTGTGTTGGATACTGAATGGGTACAAAGGGATACTGTAATGTATGTAGGTGATATTAAAAGTGGCACTATAGAAAATGTGTGGGTGGGACCTATCTTGTATACATCTGGAATACTTTTAGTGGCTTTGCAGGTTGGTCAAAGGCCCTGGTCCTCTTTTACTTGCCTTCTGTTTAATCTTGTGTTTATCACTCTCTCATTTTATTTGAATATGTAAGAATTTTTGTTTGTTTTTTTATTTTTGAATTTTTATGTGGCTAATTACATTTTGGGTGGTAATCTTGACTTGTAATTTGAGTTTTGTGTTTTTCCAAGTTTTCTCCAGGTTGATGGACCATCTTTTGCTATTTTCTTCTTCTGTGAGGTGTTTTTTATTGATTAAACATTCTACAGTCTAATACTTACCTGACAGGGGACATACCATAATCAAGAAGGCAGTTTTCCCAGGGTGAGACTCATCCACTGCACACTGGATGTGCTGACCACTCTCACTTTCTGAGAAAGAGGGAGAGAAAAGAAAAACTGTGTAGTCTGTCTTCTACAAGCTATAACTACTGTCATCCACATTACAAATACTGTTATTATGAATCACTGTATTAGCTACTAGTTGTAGCTAGGTATAAGTGAACTGTATGGAGATTTGTATGAGGATATGGCTGGGTCAGGGATATACATATTCAGAACATATGTATATTCACAGATACTGAATTGTTTTTGAAAGAAACTACACAACCTTATACTCCTACTAGCACCATGAAATTTTGTATTGTTTCACCACCTTACTGTCAACTTTGCTCAGTTTGTTTATACTACTCTGGATAGTACTTTTGGGGCCATTTTGCACTTATTAAGGTTGAGTATCTTTTCAGGCACTCCTGGGTACAACCCTCATTGTATTTTTC